ACATACTGGGAGTTACGTACCGAACAGAATCAGCGCAGATTGCAGGCATCAAGCGTGTGCTGAGGGATACACACCGCATCGTTGAGCACTTCCAGATGACGAGATGTTGCGGATTCAGCGAGGAAATCGATGTACTGGCACAAGGCATGACCAAACATTCTTGGCAGTTGTACAGGAGCGCATTGCTGCTTGCAGACAAGGTGGAAAGTCTGAACAACGTGCATGTTGGTGGAAAAGAAGAGATGCGGCAGGTCGAAGCCAACACTGTGAGTAGCAGGGAGCAGACAGCACGAGTTTACATTCCTACCGGTGCTCAGCCACGGATGAGTCGTCTGCGAAGAGAATCTTATAGAAACATCCGCATAGCCTCGTCTGGACTGAGTGGGTACTCTGGTTCGAATGTCTCTGACACAAGGACATATCCACCACCTAAAGTTGATGTCAAGAGACGGATTCAGCAGGAAGAAATGAATGCAAGATTCACCTTGCACGAAGGCAACACAGTGCGCCAGGGTAGTTGCGATGGTTCCTCAGTTGCTGCCATGGTAATGTCGGGGAGCCGTGACGATAGGCTCGTCCTGCCCAACCTTCACTACATCAAAGTTCACGAACTACGCGCGCTGATCGAATGGATGACCAAGATGGAGGCAGTGGCGCAATCTGGATCGATGAGCTGCGTGGAGAAAGTACTGCACTGTATACAGCTGCTACAAACTGGCTGTCGCTATGAATCTCTCGCGGTGATCTTCTCGCGTTCACCGTGCGAAATCAAGGACTCGTGCCTCGAGGTCATGAAGGGTTTGCTGCAATTGCACGGGGCAACGGTGAACCGGGTAGGGGGACAAGAGATGTACATGCCACTATGGAAGATTTGGAGGAAGTTTGAAGCAACGAAGGGCAGAGCAAGCGCGTACTATGGGTTCCAATGGATCGAGGTGGCGAAGGTGCTGGTCACGCTCAATCTGTACATTGGCAGGTGGCGCATGCAGGGCATGTTTGCGACAGATGGGCCGACATTCCTATGGGGTCGGTTCTTCGTGTCTCATGGTGGTGGTGGTGGTGGTGGTGGTGTGCAGCCCATGAAGAGGGTGGTGGTAGCCAGCACAATTGAGGGTGAGGTTGTCGATGACGACAACGACGACAGTACCGGTACGGACAAGAATTGCGGTGTGCAGAGCGTACCAGAACAAGGACTGGAAATGGAGGACGAGAGAGGGGTGATGCAAGAGCACAGCCAGGCTATCACAGCTTGCTAGAGTTTGTGTGTTGGTACTAGGTATGTAACGGTAGGTAGTACATAATGGCCATAGTAGTAGAGGCAGGAGTCGTGTCGTGTTTCAGGTTCCGTGGTTGGGTTGGCGTCGGTGTTCTTGGCTCGTATGCAAGGGCTGCCGCTGCCGTTGGAACCGTGGCACTGTCCCGTTTGGGTGACTAAGAGACGGCGACGACGTATGCAATACTGTGGTGCATATTATGTGTGTATGCCCGTGCAAAGATGCCCAGCTAGCAAACAGAAAGGAAAAGGAGAGCACGACTACTCTAGAACACACGAGTGACGATCAAATGGCCACACGGGCGCAAGGGGGTTGAGTATACTCCCTACATAGAGTACAATTACTAGTGCCTTTAATACTGTTTTTAATTGTGTATATGTCATATGGCCAGTGGCCCTGGTCAGAGAGATCGGCAGGGCGAGGGAAAGTAATTCACAATAGTTGCATGCGCTTGAGCCAATGGCAGGCGCCAGCGGAGCATTCTTGCACGCTCCTACGCTCTAGCAACCTCCTTAATCTGCAGGGTCACAACGGCTACAGCACTGGCACACCACCAGCACGAGTCTTGTAAAACACCAGCCTGGCGCTCCCTCGCGGCATCTGCCCGTCCTCGTTCCCTTTTGCTTCGCCCTCCCTGCGAGAGTTCCACTCATTGACCCAGACACGGCAGCCACCGCTCGTGCTACACAACGGATACCTACAGCCAGCCATCACACTCTTTGAACGAGTCGCGCGTCTGGACTACGCGCGATAGCACACTCATTGCATCCCCTCTTAATACTCTACATAGACAACACATTCCCTATTCTTTGACAGCTACCCATACCAATACCCATCCCACAGAGCAGCAACATGAAGTCCTTGACCGCCTCCGCAATTGGACTGCTCGCTGCGCTTGTGCCTACCGCCCTCGCCCAAACACACACCGACTGCAACCCGCTCAACACTACGGCATGTCCGTCCATGCAGGCCCTGGGTGGCAATGCAACCTTCATTTGGAACAAGACGGGCATTCCCAGCGACGGCAAGGTCTGGATCAAGAAGAACCAGGGAAAAATCGACTGGGTGGAGAAGGGCGCCACCTTCACCGTGGAGCGGTCGGGAGACTCGCCCACGGCCAATTCCAAATTCTACATGCTGTTTGGTCGCCTCGAGGTGGTCATGAAGGTCGCAAAGGGCAAGGGCATCATTTCCAGCGCCATCTTGCAGAGCGAAGCCTTGGACGAGATTGACTTTGAGTGGAAGGGCAGCAGTTCACAAATCTTGACAAACTACTTTGTAAGTCGCGCTCTTCTCTCGGCCAGCTCCATGTCCAGCTGCAGCTACAACCAGCTATCTAACACCACGCGATAACAGGGCAAGGGCGACACAAGTACCTACGACCGCGGTCAAGACTTCGACCTCGGTTTTGTGCCGCAAGACGATTTCCACAACTACACCTTGGACTGGACCAAAGACCGCATTCAATGGTGGGTCGATGACAAGATGCTGCGCGAACTGGTCCCTGCAGACGCAAAGGGCGGAACCCGCTATCCGCAGACCCCTATGAACGTGCGCCTGGGTATCTGGGCTGCCGGCGATGTCGAAAACAACGACAAAGGCGTCATTGAGTGGGCTGGTGGCGAGACAGATTTCACCCTAGGCCCATACACTATGACAGTGCAGAGCGTGCATGTGCAGGATTATACGCAGGGTGCTGAGTATTCATGGGAAGATATGGATGCCAGTGGTGATTGGCAGAAGGTCAAGGTCATTGCGTACGTAATGGTCTACTACATCCCAGCATCACGTTCTTTCACTGACCACTTGACAGTGGAAAATCTGAAGTCCTCCAAGAGATCCAATCCCCATCTGGCGTCCGCAATCGCTGGGCTGCCCTCCCTCAAGGCGCCAAAATCGGCATCATCGCTGGATCACTAGGTCTTTTTGCCGTTGGATGCATCATCATGGGTAAGTCTCCTCGCCCCTCCCAACGTGTGCTCTTGTGCCGTTGGAAATCTCAGAATGAGACTGACCACAATCTCTAGCCTTTTGCTGCATCAAGCAACGCCGCATCGGACGCAAAGAACATGCCGCCCTCCTCGCCGAGGAAGAGAAAGAAGCCGCTGAGCTTCAAGAGTACAAGGTGCAAATGCAGAATGGAAAGTTTGGCATGGGCTCTTACCAGCGTGTGTAGTCTGGTGAACTTGGAGGGCAGGATGATATTTCCAAGGTACATGACCCGGTCGGCGTGTCACGAATGAGTTTCTTTGGCGAGTTTTTTTTATACCCTTGCTGCTATCTATGTCAGTTGACGTACCTCGAAATCTGTGAAAGCTGGAAATGAAAACATTATATGGCTTGGTGTCATGATCGATCAATTCTGCAAGCTGTCAGTAATCACTTCCGCGAGATGAGTGTGGTATCACGAGTCAAGTTGATACCTACATGAAGCGATGCGCCAGGGAGCGAAGTCCCTAGTGCGGGTGGTCTCTTGGGAGGAGCTGTGCCACAATATACTTATGTGCACACCAAGGCACTAAGTTTCGGGTACCTGGAACGTAGCATTGAATACCTATGTATATGCTATGCGTTGGCATTCGAATTTTTGTACATTGGTGAGGATTTGTTGTTGAAGTTCGAACCGTTGTACATAGAAAAATGCATATACATATCTGTAACCTGTAATTTATCCAAGTACCCGTACATATAGGACTTTTTGCTGGGTGCTGAAGTGGGTCCTGTATGACCATGGCAGACTGGGCCTAGATTCAGCTCATTCGCTCATTCCGGGTCAGGCGTTCACGTGCTGTATGGTAGCGCCCACATGCAGTCCTACCATAGACACCCACCCCCGCCCGTGTCCATCTCATCTGACGTCAAAAACAAACGAATTGCAGGAACATTGTTAGAAACTATACGTCTTTGCATGCATATTAGATGCCGAAATTTTTTCTGCATCTTTTTGGCCCAGCATTCACCTTCAACCTGTTAACTTGAAGCGGGAGCGGTGCGCCGTGCTTTACTCACAGTACAAGTCATCCGATACGCGCGTTCGAAGAGCCACCAACGTTTCGGTTGATCAGCCACGATGGCTTCATCCGACAACTCTCATGCCAGTGCACATGCAAACAATCTGCCGAGCCCACCGCCTTCGTCGATGGCCTCTACACAGCACACCTCACCTCTACCTCAAACGAGACGGCACCCACTGAAGCCCGGCGGCCAGAAAGAGAGCGAGCTGATCAGATATCTTGACCAAGGTCTGAACCGTATCCAGAAGCGCGTTGACAATCGCCTTACGAATCGAAAAGTTGGGCTCGGACCTAGTGAGCCGGTCGGTTATAGCGCATTTTGGGAAATCGCAAGCGATCTGGGGGATCTAGTCGATGTAGTTTGGGTGTCTGGATCCCGTATGCTCCACATCCTGACATCGTGGGAGTTCTTCTTCTGACATCTCACTGTATAGCCAACCTGCAGATTCCTTACCTCCTGAACATGGCCGTACTGACTATGGAGTTCCTTCCCTTGTTCGCCTCATCACCCCGCTCAGCCCATGCAACTTTCCGTCTTCTCTCGAAACTCGACTTTGCCTTCGCTTCCTTATTGACGGGCCGTGACTTCGCGACTGGTGATTTCCTGCCAGGCTTCGAGCATGGTCGGAGCGTTTCCACAACAGAAAAAGTCCGTTTGAAGGGTGTAGTCGACAGAACACGGCTTACTGTTGTTCGTACTCTAAGTGGAGAGAGTGTGGTGGACCAAGGCGGTGGCAGTGGTGAGTCGATGATGTCAGACACTGATAACCAGCAGGTAGGTAGCCATCAAGATACTGTGACTTTCGAAGGCTTTGAAAACAACGAAGAAGACGAGTGGGAGGATGATTGGGAAGAACGCAGTGTTGCAAATGTGTACAAGAAGACTATCGAGGAGTTGGGCGACGTATTGGGTGGCCCTCCAATTGGCATCATCACAGATGACTGGGCCGCTCCTAAGATCAGACAGCAGGACAATGGTCGTGGGTTTGTGGAGGATGGCGGTGAGGTCAAGGTCTCTGATGATTCGCAGGTCTGAAGGGTATCGCGCACCGCTACGAAGGGGCCGTTCCAAGACATCACTCATGAGCGTCGAAATGGATCCGCATACCCAGCGCAGCACTCAGACAATGGAACAGCTGGATATAGCACCTACATACAGCCGTGGTACCATTATATTGTGTGCAAATCCTGGTTGACGAAGGCATTCGTCAGTGTTGACAAATGAGTTGACATGGAAGGTGCGCTCAATCGCTCCTGCCGCAACAGAGCCCACACACCATACCGGTATACGTCACGCGACCACGCGACCACGCGCTCCAAGCCCGTGACATCTCCATCATCTCACGTACCCCGCAGGACACTGAGAGGGTCAACACTGAGCCGTCTGTTCCGCACATGATCAAAGCTGCCGAGGAGCAGCCTGTGTCGCTCAATTATTCCTGACAGTCACCAACCCAGCCATTGAGCATGCCTACCTATCATGCACGCGGCATCTCGGCTCGCCTGGGCACACTGCCTTTGTCTGATGCCATAACGCGCAATGTCGTGGCCAAGAAGGGCGAGGTCGCTAGACAGCAGGGTGAGGCGGCGGAAAAGAAGCTCAGAAAAAGCAAGCTACTCACTGAGCAATCTGTACCATTCCCGGGCGACGACAGTGCATTGGAGCTCAATTGGATCGGCAATGCGCCATTCATGCAGACTGAAATTGCGCCAACCAGCCTGGCCTCAGCAGAGGCAACCAGGAGACACGGCAGAAAGGATAATGACAGCAGCTACAAGTCCGAAGCTCTTGTGCTCCATGTTCAGTTGTCAGACAAGACGTTCATATCAGGTCTGAATAAAGCCAAGACCAATCTTAAGATTGACGTCTTCTTCAACGGAGAACTTGCAAGCTGTGTCTTCATACCTATCCATGATGTGCGTTCTGGTGTAAAACCTCTTCACCAGGTCCTCGCTGGCACAAGAGTCGACTACCTTTCAGAACGGCCTTGGGTCATTGTGCGTACCGACTTGACATCTGGCGACGGAGGCAGAGATCACGCTGTGGTCTTGCCAGTAGAGCCACGGTGGGGAGACATCTGCCAGGCTCTACAGCGCGAAGCACATGCACGTGGAATGGATGACAAAGGGAACACACCTCCAAGTGCAGCGTTTTTGAGAGCGTTGGCTACTATGCAGATGCCACGGCAAGTACATGACATGCAGCGACCGGGCGGTTTGCATTTCGGAGTCATCGACGTGATTATTTCCGCTGGTGATGGTAGGAAGACCGCCAGTAGCGCCGGCTACCTCAAAACTGCTCAAAGACTAATGGACAACAACTTCCCGCTAAATACCGAAAACATGGACGAAAACAAGCAGGCTCCGAATCTCACTGTCAGGGATAGCGCACTCAACACAACGGATCAAACACCTAATGACATGGATGCAGTAGCAGCCTGCGAGTCCGATTGTGAGCCTTGCCCAAAAAAGCGGGCCATGACACCGCGTGCACTAGCATTGGATGAAGTGTCTACCGCCAGCAAGCCCTTTCTGAGTCAAATCCCATCACTGCTGCCGCAAGCTGGCGATTCCACGGTCAAATCACCATCATCAGATGTGCAGACGAAGTACAGACAAGACTCTTCTCCTCCTGCAGACAATCTGGGCCCCATTCGTCGTTTCAAATCATTCCAACGCTGCTACACCGGCCATACAATTCCAAATATCACTACACAAAGACAAGAACAGAGTGCTACCGAATTTCGAATCCAATCACGCAGCGCACAATCCGATTTTGCGGTTTCTGACCCTGGGTTTGCACATAACTTGCATTCATCTTTATGGAGCTCTTGGGGTAATGGCCCCGTGCTGCAACACCCTTCCTATCCGCACCCGGGGGAGGCCAAAGTTTTCTTAGATGGACATCATTCTAGTCCTCTCCAGCACATTGGGCCGAGCTTTGACAAACAACCTCAGCTCCTCAGTTCGTCTCCGTCCGTATTGAGTGGACATGGAATCAATGAACATGACGATAGATGTGCATATCCAGTCTACACGATGTCAGATGACTACGAACGCCATGACTCAAGTGCACTTAGCAACTCTGGTCTGCCTCCTAGCGATAAAGTTCAATTCCAGCCCAGACGCAAAAATCACACCGTGGCTCCTCTGGGGCCCAAGTACCCATGGAGTGTGCTAGTTAGGCCACAACCTCACACATCCCATTCCATTTCCCTTTATAGACATACCTTAGCCGGAAGATCGCCCGTTCCAGTTCCCAACTTTCCACAGCCTTTCCCACTGCAACCTCCTATAGGAGCATATACCGTGCCTCAAAAGCCCAAGACTAGTCCTGGCGTAAGCAAGGCAAAAGGCGTGGGAAGGTCGACTAAATCTAGTCAAAGTCTATGGGTCACTCGCTTAGTTGTGTACGGTCGAAGTGTGCCAATACTCGATCATCGCTGGATCATTCCACAACGCTTGTCTCGTGATTTCAGTAAGTGAAATTTACCACCATTGGGAGGAGGCCTTCGTCGGAGACGCCGAAAGATTCAATGGCCGGCGACGATTTACTAAGATATTCGCAGGAGGTTTACCATCAGAAGAGAATACGAGTCAACCAGGTGAACCCAGCTCAACTTCTACCCAGCAAACCTCTACAAACGCTGTAACAGGTGGACCTGATGCACGTCATCTTGACGTGGCAGACAGCGTAGGGACGAACCATGTCCTTGGGCCTAGATCTTATTCCTTACGCCATGCGGTGTCTGAAAGCTGTACATCTGGTACACAGGATCCCAAGGCAGCTATGTTGCTGCTCGATGATCCGGAGGAATTACTGCGGGGGCCCTCGAGACTGCGCCGATCAAGGGCTCCCGTAAAGTTATTCGATCAATCCACGAACCCCCCTAATTTGAAAGCTGACCGCGCAACTCGAGACTTGGCGCTAGCAGAAACAACCACCTCATCTCCGCTCTCCAGCGCGCCGACAACTCCTGAGCCTATGGACTGCGCCGCATTCACTAAGCCCATCAAGGCAGCCTCCCAGAGTGTCCAAACTTGCAAACCATGTGTATCGCAAGCTGATATCCCGTGTGAAAGTCCAGCTACTCCGACTGTAATCCCCTCGTCCAAAATATCGCCACTCTCGGAGGACCTACAGCAGGTTGCTTGCTTAGAGACAACTCCAACGAAGACGCCATATTTGCTGAACAGTAAGAAGCGAAAGACGGCGAACCAATCTACAGCCATGAAGTGGCGTATTCATGAGCGCATCATTGATGTCAATGATTCCCTGCTCAATGAGAACTGTGTCATAACATATGCTGACATCGAATCTGGCGGAGAAAATAGCGCTCCACTTCGTCAAGTCAAGAGTGAGCGACAAGGTGTTTTTCAAGAGGAGTATGTCGTTTTCGCAGCACGGTTCTTCGTGCCTGGAAATTAGGACAATGCAAGATTTAATGTAATGCGATGTGAAAAGGCTGTGATTGAGTTCTGGACAAGCTGTTCGAGTTATAGGATTAGCGGTCAAAAAAAAAGAAGGGGGGGGGGGGGGGGGGGGTGGGCTGCGATGTTCCAAGCCCTTGGCTTTTGTGATTCATACCAGTGTATTCTATACAGGTGTAGAGGATTCAACATTCGTGTTGAGTGCTGCTGAATTGAGCATTGAGCATTGAACTGAACATGAACCATCCGTCCCAACTCTTCCACTTTGATAGCACCAGCTCCGACACCTCTTGCGCTACCTACCCACCCAGTCTACCCCATGAACTCAAATTCGATATCCCCCAAACCACGCGACAAAATCCGAGCATTCAGCAGAATCCCACGAAATCTTTCCAGACTTTTGCTCCAGGGTGTTTCTTCATACGAGACAATTTCTTTGAAAATTTTCTAGATTTCCCTGGATACCCATTGCAGTCCATGGTTCAAGCGATACTGGTCGTGTAAGCCTTGCAATGGTATATTTGGTACACTACTACTACCGCGCAGCAGCATAAATCCCCAATCTCCAAGAGGCCTTTCTTACTCTTCATAACCCCTCCCTACCCATCTCCAACACGCTGGTATTTCCTTCTACTCCTTCTACGCTGGTACCGGTACATCTGTGCATGATGTCCATTGCGTCATCGCCGTCCCTGATGCTAATTCCTTGGCGCTCCCCACTCAGACGCTTGGCAATGGCATGTCACTGCTCGATTGTGATTGGATGAGAGGGGTCAAGTGTGTGGGACATAAAAGCCGGTGGATACGGTAGAAAGGCAAGTAGGAAAAAAAAAGGCGGTGTTGGACGAGAAGTATACAGCGGTGGAGTTGAAATGGACACGGTTGAACGAGGTGCAATGGCATCTCAAGATCAAGTCGCCAGGCAAAAAGGAAGTGAGCGCGATGTGGAAAAAAGGGGGGGTTTTGATGCGGGAATGTTGGATTCAGGTACGATGTTTGCTTCCTAGGCTTTCACATGCTCTCTCTCTCGCTCTCACCCACATAGTCTACCCAAAGCAGTAACTAACAAACTCCTCCCAGATACCACCAATCTCCACACCCCACCCCCAACCCTCCCACCCTTGAAAGCCCTTTCCTTTCTCGACCGCTTTCTTGTAGTATGGATCATTCTCGCCATGGGCATTGGGATTGCGCTCGGCAATACAATCGACTCGGTGGGACCGGCGTTGCAAAAGGGTGAATTCGTTGGTGTTAGCATTCCTATTGGTAACTTTCCGCCTCTCTTGCGTTCGCCCAAACAAAACCCAGCCCAAACAAAACATCCCAAGACCTGATTGACTGACTGTCTCCGCAGCCATCGGACTGCTCGTCATGATGTACCCGATCCTCTGCAAAGTGCGTTACGAAACCCTCCACCTCCTCCTCCGCTCGCGCGCCCTATGGATTCAAATCCTCGTCTCCTTTGTGCTCAACTGGATCATCGCCCCTCTCTTCATGGTCGGCCTCGCCTGGGCTTTTCTGCCCGACCGGCAGGATCTGCGCGAGGGACTCATTTTTGTCGGGATTGCACGCTGCATCGCCATGGTGCTCATCTGGACGGATCTCGCACAGGGCGATGGAGATTATTGCGCGGTGCTCGTGGCTTTCAACTCGCTGCTGCAGATTGTCTTGTTTGCCCCGTTTGCCATCTTTTACGTCCAGGTTGTGAGTCGGGGGGCCAGGACGACTGTGAGCTATGAGCATGTGGCCAAGAGTGTGGGCGTGTTCCTCGGGATACCGCTGGCAGCGGCTGTCGTCACACGGCTGGCGCTTAGGAGTGTGTTGGGAGAGGACAAGTATCAGCGACATTTCATACGCTATATTGCGCCGTTTTCGCTCATTGGGTTATTGTACACCATCATTGTGCTGTTTGCCAGTCAGGGCGCACATGTGGTACAGCAGATTACGGATGTTTTGCGTGTGTGCGCGCCACTGTTGGTATACTTCTCCGTCATCTTCACGAGTACCATTTGGTTTTGTTGGAAGATGGGATTCGGTTACAAGGTGAGTTGCACACAGGGATTTACGGCTGCGAGCAACAACTTTGAGCTGGCCATTGCGGTCGTGGTCGCCGTATATGGGGTGAGCAGTGGACAGGCTTTGGCAAGCACAGTGGGACCGTTGATCGAGGTGCCTGTACTCGTGGCTTTGGTCTATGTGCTGAGATGGATTAGGGAGCGATGGCAATGGGCCGATTGATGGGGATTACAGAGCCAATTCCTATTCAGGAACTGGTCTAGGCTGTCGTCATGTAGCTACAGTAGAGTTACCACTTCCCTCCATCTGTCCCGTTATACAACGTGTTCGTGATACGACCTCGACTACTTGTTATCAAAACTGGTTTAGCTGTCAGCCGTGATCGTGCCTATTCCGCGGTGGTCATTGTTTCGAACCTGTCTTGAAGTACCACTCTGTCGAGGTAATACTCTGTACCTCTGGCTCGACGAGGGACGAGGATGCATAATTAATGCTCCCACTGAGTTGGGTTCCCAGTATTGTGACACCTGCATACCCTGTGAGCATTAGCGTACGACCCTACTATTGCCAGTCTCACTTTACAGAGGGCTGACTTCTTCAGGTGATCTCTGCATATGGAATGCTGCTAGCGTTGGCATGTGCCGTACTAGGAAATAAACATGATGGGTGTCTGTTCCTACGGGACTGGCTGAATGTGTGGACGATGCTCGTGCTCAACGTCTTGCTTAAATCCGAGTATCACATATACACGAGCCTTCAACACTGTGTAAGCAACCTCAATGCGATCAGCTAGCCATAGTTACTGTAACCCCACTAGTAAGTCTGCGTTTGTAATCCTGGCGTGTATAGTAAAGATCCAGGTTGGTCGCAATCGGCCTTGTGTATCAGAATACAAGTGTGAGGCCAGATACTGTAATGGTACGACTGCACAAACAATGCATGAAGAATGATAGGCAACCTGTAGAAGCTCTAGTGGGAGGACCGTACAGGTCTAGGACATCTGGCAGTCTGTGTCAGTGCTCGTTGGTGTCTGTTAATGCAAGTCTTAGTCGCCGACAAGCATAGTTTGTAGATGATTACTCGCAGGAAGGAGGAAGGTGATATCAGCCCAAGAAACCGGGACTCCAGGACATTCTCAAACTGTCCAGTCTAAGAGTATTGGCTTAGGAACAGCCATGAAGGCGGTGACGGTGCGTTTATGTGTGTTGAGTTGAGTAGGCTTAATTATATATATATATATGTGTGTGTTGCTGGGTTCACGTCGAACGCCCACACCGCCACTTAAAGCAATCTCTATTGATCGAATTCCCTCATGTAATAGCATGACAGCCTCTTGGGATGTTCTTTTGGGGGAGGGGGCATGTGCAGGTTGCAGCCCAGATCTCACGCTTGATGGATAGGTACTGTGTATCGTATGTCGAAGGTTGCTGTTTGTGACTTGCACCACCCTCGTTAGTGCTGAAACCACTTGCGCAATGTGGGCGAACTCGAGCCATAGCCGAACAGAGATGCCAACCTGGTGTGGGCTGCGGGAGCTCTCCACCCCGTCGTGTCGGCCAGTGTGCATTACGTATTGCATCGCATCTACTCTAGAGAGCCAGGTCAAGGCTAGTGTGCGCGTGCGTTGCACGGATTGTACTTTGTTGTAGGAATTGGGGCGGACATGCGACGAAGCGGCGGCCATGGTGCTGCCTGGACCAACAAGTGCCCGGCGCTGTGGTTGAAGAACCCAGCCAGGCGGTCCGCCCTAAAGACGTGTTTCACGCGAAGTCGACGCTGCCTTGTCGCCCTTTGCATCAGCTCAGCCTAAATCCTACGTGGGTGTCGTTCCTCACGACGTTGCATCGTTGCGGAGAAGGCCCGGTGGGTGCTGTCGATGGGGGCAGGAAGGGCTGGCCATGAGATTTCATGGCCGTGGAACTAAAGCGTATCGGGTTTGTCCGATACCAGGGATTTGCGTTCGGCAAGTGGAACATGCAGGCGTTTCTTGCAGCGTGTGGCAGACAGGTACAAGTACCCTGTACAGGAGTATAGAGTACATTACCGTACCTACTGTACCTACCGTAGATGGGTCACGGGTGCTGTGCGACGCGTCTACCGCGACAACTTGGCATAAGCACGCGTCGAAACTTGAAACCCTCTTCTTGGGCTTCTCCTGTCCGGCTTGATTTCCACAGGACCACTGGCCACCTCCTACTACCGGTACCTACCATAATCGGTGCTCTACCCGGCTGCGCAGGGTGACGTGGATTCTAGCCGTCTCACGTTCTTCCCTAGGCAGGTCTGAAGTTTCAGCAATGTCTGACGTTGCTGGGGCTATCAGCATACCAACACTTGACCGAGTGCACACCCCTCTTGCAAGACAGCTATGGATACATGGCCTCGCGATGCCGACGCAATTATGCGTGTGTCTAGATGGGGCTTGGGGCTGGCTTTGGCTGGTAGAGTAGACGGAAGTGCGCTGCTGGTATGCCGGCAGGCATCCCTAGAGTATGTACCGGTAGCAGGACGGAGAATGTGGGAATGCCTGTAGCTCTGTGCAGCAAGCCACGAGAGCCCGTAATGTCGCCTACCAACGAGAGAGGCTGGTTCCCTGTCAGCGAGCCAGCCATTGGGTCCGGCCGCTCAGTCTCGGCGTGCATCTGCCTTGGGGTCTGTGTGGAGAGAGGGATGGGATGGGATGAGCTTCGTGTGCGTGCTTGCAGATTTTCCATTTGGACGGTCAGGACAGAGAATTCGCTTTTGAGGATTTCAGGCGGCAGACTTGCGGTTGTGAGGTAGTGGGTAGGTAGGTGCCGGGCTATGGTAGGTATTAGTAGGTACAGGAGGTAGCTAGGAACCTATGCATGGGTATCCCGAGATGCCTTGCCAAGGAAACAACGATGCTAACCTTGGAAAGGGCACGGTCAGGCAGCGGAACGGCGCGGTAGGCTGGAAGAGGAACGCATGAATGACGATGCTCGCACCGCCGTGCAAGGAAGGAACAAGATGCAAGTGCTGGAAGTCGGGGCCATGGAGCCGAAGTAGATGAAAGGTTTGCAAATCCCATCACCGTGTGGTGGCAGTGCTGGCCGTGGTCGTCGACACCGTCAGAGTGCGAGGCTCTTGGGGTTACAAGTGGGTGGTGGTGGGTTGGTTGTCGGTTGACAGGAACAGTGCAGAAGGGATGGATGGAGGAATGGAGGGATGTTGGTCGTCTAGGGTACCGGTAGCATACAAGTACAATATTCATCTAGTCATCTGTGCCGTGCACAGAATGGGGCTATGCAGCGCCCGGATGAGGGTGTGAGGGTTTCCCCTTTTTGCCCATTGTGGGCCTGGTTGGTGGAGGGGGGGGGGGGGGGGAAGGAGCCAGTAGGAGGGGCTGGTGGTCGCTGGTGGTGATTGGTGGCGGCAGCGGAACCACCACGACGGAACGGCAGGTTGTGGTGCCACTCCCTCACGCCTTCCCTCTGCAGCCTGGGACGGACCACTGGGGTTAGAGAGAGAGAGAGAGAGAGAGGAAAACAAAAGAGAGAGAAAAAGACGGCGTCACGGCGATAGGCAAGTGAAGGGTAGGTAGGCAATCATCGAGAGCAGTACAGTACATGGGATAGGTACTCTTACACAGTACAGTACGTGTACCGTGTACGTACGTACATGGCTCTGTCCAATGTACACAAGTACACAGTAGAACTGTGCAGTGTATCGTACGGTAGAAGGCTATTTTCTCTCTTGCATGAGGGACAGAAATACATGCTACAATACTGTACCGAGCGCGACAACCATGGTTCGGCCCAGGCAAGTCGAGAACGACCGAGGGTGAGCCGCAGGAGCAAAAGAGAGAGAAGAGAGAGAGGCAGAGGCAGAGCCAGAGGCTGGCGAGAGGGCAGATGCATGCACACAGTGCGTAGCAATGAGGTGCGCTGACTGTACCAAGTACTGTACTCATTCTAGAGCTACTCCATCATTGCGCTACACGATTATTACTGTGCGCTCTTTCTCTGCACCAAACATGGCATCTTGGATGGTAGTGGTGGTGTTGGTGTGGTGTTGCTGGCAGCTGGCTATGCATTATCGTGCGTCGTTCCAAGGGCAACAAACAGCTGCAAGTGCCGTGGGAGGTGTGCGCATGACGGATTGCTGAGCGGTGAGAAGGGGAGGGGGGGTTGAGAGCATAAACTGGGAGCTCGGTTCCCAGCGCAGGCAACAGAGAAGCCCGGGTTCGGGAGGGCGTCCAAAGTCCTGGACTCTCTCCTTCCTGGACTCTTCCTTGCCGGACTCTTCCTTGCTGGCTGGCTGGCTGGCTGGCTGGCCGGGTCAGTGCAGTGTGTGTGTGTGTGTGTGTGTGTGTGTGTGTGTGTGTGTGTGGGTGGGGTGGGTTTGCCCAGTGGCAGGTGGGCGCCTGCGGGTTGGAAGGGAGCTGCAAAACCCGAGAGAGTGGGCGACCATGGAATTACCGACGCCTTGGATTTGGGGGTTTTTGGGACAAACACTAGATATCCTGGCCGCCCCCCCCTCCCCCGCTAGCCTGAGACGAGAAGTCCAGCTCCGAGCCTGGCGCGACTCAGCGAATCTCTGTCGCCCAACCTGCATGCATGCATACATGCATCCTAGCAGAATGAATGAATGAATGGAAGAAAGAGAGACAGAGAGAAAGAGAATATAGTAGGGATAGCATGCACATATACAAACATACGCACACACACATACGTATATATATATATATATATATATATATATTTATACACACAAAAGCAGGCCAAAACACTAATGATACCGTTGCTTGTGGGGAGGCAACAGCAGAGACAGGCACATTGCATACCCAGATACCTACAGTAGATGGAATCCAGTGGTAGTGATGGTGACAACAGTATCGACCATAGTAGACCAAATGGGTAAACAACTTGTGTACATGACTACATATACACATATACCTGTAGGTATGCTTCTTTACCTGTCTACTTCTTTACATACATACACACCTTGTCAGTATGCAGTACACAACACTATTCCACAGCTCAGGTAATCATCCACCATCGCCATCATCCTGATCCTCGGCGAGACGTGCAGGGATTCGCTGGCATGTCAAGTCGAGAGTGTGCAGGTTGCATCTTTCCCAAAGAACCCCGGCCGCCTTTCCCTACCATGTCTGACGCCTGCAGACCCAAGAGCTTGTTCTCGACTAACCATCATAAAGCCCGTCGGTCCCTTGCCTTGCCGCAATTGTGCCCCGTCTGCCACTCGCTCCTCCATCGCCATCGCCATCGCCATTGACATTGCCATTGCCGTTGCCATAGCCATACCCATTGGCCTTTTTCCTTCTCACCTCCTCACCTCCCCCCCAATTCCCCTTACCCGGCTATCCTCACCATCATCCTCGTCCTTCTTGGCCGTCCTCCTCGCCCCGCCCGCTTCGTCTGGTCTCTCGCTGCAGCCAGCCCACGCGCCCGCCCGTCGCGAGAGGAAATTCATCCCATGACCTGCGCTCTATAACGTGCGTGCCCACGGCCCTCGATTCCGACCACCAGCCCCATCCTCATCCTCATCCTCATCATCACCACCACCACCACCACCACCACCACGGCGCTACAGCTGTGCCGTCGCCATCCTTTTGCGCTGCACCCTTACATAGTACTTGCTCCTGCCTTGACTGCACTGCACTGCTGTTGCGCAACTCGTCTTCGGCCACGGCTCTGCGCCCCCTGCCTGCCCACGAGGCCCCCTCGTCAAGCAAGGCGGCTCCAATGTTGACGATGGCATCGAATGGGTGAGTACCACCCCGCTCTGGTGCGACGTCTGTCTGCGCTGGCCTCGCAGACCGCTAACTGGCAGCCCACCCAGTCTGCCCGTGCCCGCTCAGAACAGCAATTATTTGGAGAATGGCCGCTGGTATCATGGTTTCCGGCGAGGCATCTACATGTACCCATGCGACGAGGTAGGCAACACGCCATCTACTACTACTTCTCACCACTACTACCACTATCACACTACCACTGCCACTGCTACTTACCACACTACCACTATCACTGCCTCACTACCACTGCCACTGCTACTTACCACACTACCACTATCACTGCCTCACTACCACTACCCCCCACTACCTCACTACCACTACCATCACCACCAATATCAAGACAATCCCAAGAAGATTACCACTACCACAATCACAATCATCGCTACTACCGCTAGTACCATGGCTAGCTACCACCACTATCAATTCCTCCTACTCCACCCCACATCACTACCCATATCCTCCTCCTCCTCCCCCTCCACCAACCCCCCGTTATGCCTAGGCAACCGCCTGCTGCACGCGCGACTGCGACTGACGCGACACACAGCCCGAAAAGGACCGCATGGACATTTATCACAAACTGTTTGCCGTCGCACGGAGAGACCAGCTGCACCAAGCGCCCATGCCGCACACCTCGCAGCCCCGCATCCTCGACGTGGGCTGTGGGACGGGCATCTGGGCAATCGACATGGCCGAGTGAGTCGCGTTCCGCAGCCATTGCATTGGCGTTGTTGTGCAAGGCTAATCTGTCCCCAATGTAGCAAATACCTGAACGCCGAGGTGCGCTTCTCCTGCCCATGAGTGCGCCGCCCTCGCCGCCCGCTGACGTGAAGCTGCAGGTTCTAGGTTTGGACTTGGTCAACATTCAGCCCGAAAAGTAGCTTGCCCCCCCCCCCCCTTCCCCTTTGCCATCCTCCTCCCCCTCCCCAATCAGCCAGCCCAGCCCTTGCATCCTCCATTGCCTGGCCGAGTCGCTGACCGCTGCCCGTGCAGAATCCCACCGAACCTGCGGTTCCGTGTACCACGCGACTACGAGAGCCCTTGGTTGCTGGGCGAAGATTCCTGGGACTTGATCCACCTGCGCATGGCCTGTGGCAGCGTAACGAGCTGGCCGGAGCTGTACCAGAAAATATTCGCGTAGGCTGCCCGCACGCATTGCCCCTCTGCCTCTGCCACCGCCACCTGTCCAATGGGCACGCCCTCACTAACACGACAATAGGCACCTGAAGCCCGGCACGGGCTACGTGGAACATGTCGAAATCGATATGGAGCCGCGTTGCGACGACGGCTCGCTCCCGGACGACAGCATGCTGAAGCGGTGGTACGAGTGGCTAGCAGACGCCACGCACCGCGTCGCGCGCCCAATCGCATACGAGCATCGCACCCGCCAGTTGCTGCAGCAGGCCGGCTTCATCGACATACAGGAGACGGTCATTCGCGTTCCCTACAATTCGTGGCCCAATGACCCGCATCAAAAGGACATTGGCCGGTGGTACAACCTGGGCATAACCGAAGGCCTAGAGGCGCTAACTTTCGCCCCTCTCACCAGAGTCTACCAGTGGGACCTCAACACCGTAGTCCGACCAATACTCGACTCGGTGCGCAGAGAAATATGCAACCGCAAGTTTCATGCCTATAACAATATGTAAGCTCTGCCCATCGTAGCACCAATACAACCGAGTGCTCGAACCATGCTGATCCCTTGCTCCACAGCCACATCTGGACGGCTCGACGACCACAGCAATAGCACCCTCCGTCCCACTCGCACCTATTTAACCGGCTGTCTTGTTCAAGGCCCGAGTTTGTCTCGCACAAATACCATGCGCCCTGTAGTACTGGCCCTATCCGTGTGCTAAGTAGGCCTCGTCGTGCCACCCACCCACAATGCGGTGGTGAGCAAACGCAAATCTGGAATTTCTGGTCCTACATGTCGATTTTCCTGGATCCCCCATGGCAGGCGTCATGCGCTCCACGGAGTCACCCACTGTCAGCCTCACCTGGACCGACCGATGACGGATGACCAAGCCTTGCACGGCGTAGCCGTGTCACACAGACGTACAGAGCCCATCTGGGTTTCGCAGTCCCATATCGTCATTTTTTGCACCTCTGTGCTCTTCCTTGTTCACACGGGCGCAAAACGCCTGCGGGGTGCATGTTTTTTTTATCTTGGCGTTTCGAGGAATATATCCCCTATCAGGCGTTTTGACGAATATGATACCTCGACTTCGAGTCGATCTAGGCCAACGGTCGATTTTCACACAAAGCATGCGTGGCATGATGGATAGCATCGCTCTTATTCCTATCATGGCCATGTTCTTCGTTTTGGACGTTTTACCTGAAACGAGATGCAAGGCAGCAGGCAAAACCGGTGCGGTGGCTTTCATTGTCGATTAGCAAAGTTTCATAACCTTCTGTATACCCTTTTGGCATTTCTGACTCGTTTCGAGCGGCGCTTGGGATGAGCATGGATCATTTAGCGAAGATGCGTTTCGGACGACATGGATGCCTGATGTTGAGCAGAGCTGCTTGGAAAAATCCATAGATAATATGAGGATATATACCCCCCCTCCTTCCCAGTTCCACTTTGAAGCATGAAAAGATGACGGATGACGTTGCAGTGTTTGGTTGGGGGAGACGGGCAGTTGCTGTAGAGAAGCTGCAGGTGGGTCAAGTCTCAGATTTGGGCATGGTACCATTCGTTGCTTGTGGGGACAACAGTATATATAGTTTGATGTGTGTAGAGTAAGTACTCCATGTGTACAGGATAGTATTCATGCATGTGGACAGAGCAGACTATGGCATGGTCGTAGGATGATTGATGGGTATGCGTATATCAAAAGCTGGCTACAGTACTCTGTTCCGACGAGGAGTGGTAGTTTGTATGATGGAAATTCGTAGTGCAGGTCAAGTACTAGGGCCATGTACTATGTACAGTATGTATGGTAGAGGAAAGGTACTGTACCAGTACGTACGTCCGTGTCGGCAATCCCATCCATCCAGCATGCTGGGTAGCTGAATCATGATCGGAGATGGCTACCTACATACGGCAGATATTGTACAGTATGGCTGCAGCATTTGCACCTGTTCGGCCACGATACCGCAAAAGGGGGTGCTGATCAGGAACCAGGCAAGGGGGGGGGGGGCCGGGCAGGCAAAATGGGCTGCCTGGGACTCCGTGTGACCACTTCCCCGGAGGGGATTGGTCCCCAGTAAAATGTTTTTAAATAAAGGAATGTGGGGAAAAGTGGAAAGACGGCGATGTTGGTGTGATGCGCGCGTACGCGTGAGAAGGTGCTTTGAGAACCGACCGGCTGGCTCCAGCGAACGCTTCTTTCTCCTCCCACCCATCCCCCCCATGCCCTGCCGCTTTTCTTTTGGTGTCGTTTGTTGTTCACTCCGGCGGCCTTGGCCATGGAGCCTTGTTTTGTGGTGAGTTGGGTAGGGTAGGGTACAGAGTATAGATGGACTCGCCAAACTCACTTGGCATGCTTTGCGCATGTGAAAGAAGCGTGCTGTCTACTTACTCACCAGCCCCCATGTAAACCCACGAGTACAGTACAATACAAACAAGGGCGGTAGCCGCACCAAGGCCGGGCCTTCTTCGGAGCACAGTGTTGCACTCTCCTCGTCCTCGTCCTCCTCTTCCTCCTCTTCCTCCCCCCCCCGGCGTGTCAA